TATTACAATTTAAATACAAAAAGTTAATTTAAATCTTTTTGTACAAAAGATATAGCAATAAGATTGAAAATATTTAATAATTTTTATTATACATATATATATATATATATTTATATTTATATTTATGAATTTTTAATACAATTTTATATAAACCATATAAAAGTTAAAATATAATTTTAATTTGAGTAATTTAATTAATAATCTTTTTAATAACCTATTTAATAATCTATTTCAATTTATCTTTCTTCATTTTTCATAAATTCTATATTTTTAAATAATAAAAATCAAAATTATTTATAGTAAAAAGTATTGGAGGAATCTTATTTTAAAAAATAATAGATCTGAATCAAATGTTTATCAAATTTAAGTAGTAGGAGATGAATATTAATATTAACATTGTTAGTTAGCATGCGCTTATAACATGCAAGTGTTGTGTTATGTATTTATTCTTTAATGGTTGAGATTTATGTTTAATACAACTTTGTGTGAAGTTTTTCATAAGTTTGAAAGTCTTGATAGTGTCGATAAAAATTTTAATTTGCTTTATTGTTTTTGATTATCATTAATAAAATATAAGAAAATTTTTGGTTAAGAATAATATTAGTGAATTAAAAAGTTTCTGTACATATTAACAGGTGAATACATAATTTAAATATAAAAAATTAGTGAATATTTATTTGTAAAAATAAGAAATACAAATTTTTAATTTATTAATAAAAATAAAATAATTTTTAAAAAGTTAATAAATATATATCATTTATATCATAAATATTAAAAAAGAATATATTAACTATAAACAATAATTTATTTTCTTTATTTACATGTAATATATTATTTAAATAATAGTCAAATCAAAATTTTAACAAAGTTTGACAATGAACATTATTAAATATTTGTATATATTATATTTGTATTTAAAATGCATTTTTTACATTTAAGTTTTTATTATTGAAAATTAAGTTTTTATGTATGTATTTATATAAAATATATATATATATATTTTAAACAAAATTTAATTATTAAATAAATTTGTTTTAGAATAATATTACAGATGCCATACATTTTGGTACGTGGTAATCTTGCATCATATGGTCATCGATATCCATGGAGAGTTTTAGTATCAGGTCTTAAAGGTATAATTCTTTATTTTGAAATTCAAATACTTATATTACTTATTATATTCAAATATAATATATTACTATATATTATACTTCATTATCATGTATATGTTAATAATTTTAAAAATAAATTTTATGTTGATTTAATATTTAATTAATATTTTATCATAATAAATATGCAATAAATTTTTAATATCTTATACATTTTATTTTATATTTCTTATAAAGAGAAGTTTTTGGAGACTTTTATTTCTATTACTCATATATTCTCATAATATATGTTATTATATCAAAATAATGTGTGTGTGTGTGTGTGTGTGTGTGTGTGTTCATAAGTGTATATGTGTATGATATATTTCATAAATATATATCACATATATACAAAATATTTTAAAATATGTACATATTTTTCCTATGTTGCGCGCGCGCGCGCACACACACACACACACACACACACAATAGAAATAAACGGTAAATTATAAGTATATATTAAATGTTGAATTTTTTTCTATAAAATTTTCAAAATATAATGTAATATTTATCATATATATAATATTTTTATGATAAATGAATAAATAAATATTCTGTTATTAAATAAAATTGGAATAATAATAATAATATTTTTCTAGCAATAATTAGTATTAATCATATTAATATATAAAAAATTCTTATTAAAAAAATACACACATATATCTATATATATTATATATATGCATATAATTTTTTTTATTTTGATTAATAATTCTGAATAAAAAGATATTTCGAAATTTATGTGATTTATGAAATATATAAAAATTATATTGTAATATTTGTCATGATTTATAATTGAAAATTTTAAGTTTATCGATCTTTTTCATCATTTTATTTGAATTAATATTTTTCATAAATAATTTTTCATAAAAGTCATATTAATGATTTTGAGTAAAATGTTGTATATCTACTATCGTTTTTTCATCAATTATCTTCATCTATTATCATGATAAAATGATAAAAATTATTATATAGATTGTAAGCAAGAGTGATTACTTTTTATTTGAGATCTGTTAGAATCTACAATTTTTATACAATTCTTGTTTTCTCTTTTAATTCATATAAAAATCCGGAAAAAAATATTGAAATAATAAAAAAACATGAAATTGCGTCGTAAACTATAATATATAATATTATTCACGTGTGTTGTAGCATCCGATATAGAACAACTGAGTCGTTTCGCTTCTGGAGGATATAGTGATGATTCGACAATAGTATATTTACAACATCCTTGTGTAATATTAACTGCTTTAGAAGTTCTTGGTTACAAAGTCGTAGCATCTTCAAGTACTAGTGTTAAACAAGATTATAATGAATATATGTGGACTATGAGAAAAGATTTTTCTGAGCCTGAACCCGAACCTGTTATTAAGACAGGTATGATATTATAACAATTACTTTTATTCCCATTAATAATAATATGATTAGATTTACATATTTAATTAAAAATTGAATATATTATATTATATATATATATGTATTTCTAATATTTTAAAATTGAAAAGAAATGTGTATAAATTCACAAAATATTTTTAATTTCAATATAAAATTTTAATTAGAATAATGTATGTTATATAAATTATTTTAAACGTCAGAGGAAAGAAAGTTATTAAATATGTATATAAATGATAAAAACATAATAAAAATAATAACAGCAACAATAATAATAAAATATATATTTTGCAATTTTTTATTATAATAATAATAATATATTTTATATTATATATATTATATTATATATTTTTAATAATAATAATAATAATAATGAAATCTTTTTCTTGCTAAAAAGAATATATGATTATAAATATGATTATAAATACAGATCCAATTACAAAATATACAAATGTACAATTCGTATTAATCTATCAATTTATTAAAAATATTTATTCGTTTTTAGTATTTTTTTTCAAATAATTCTGTTTACAAAAGATATAAAAAATAAGATATTTTTAATCTATATCTATAAAAATATATCTGTAAAAAAGATATATCTATAAAATTTCGTGTGCTGATTGTGAAATTGTTCCGTTATATTAAATTTTATAAAATTTTAATATATTTTAATACGTTTTATAAATTAAAATATTATTCATATAATTGAAAAATATTCGTTATCTAGTTTATTATTCTTTTACAAAAATAGCAACAATCACAAATGTAGTTTTAAAGAGGTTATGTATGTAATAATTGACGTTTAATTTGATATCATTGATTTTATATCATATATATTTTATTTAATGATTACATATTTCGTTTGGAATTTTATGCAATTCGCCTAAAATTTTCTGTTATTATAAGCTAATACATATATATTTTCATCGATATATAAATTTTTTATTGATTTTTATTATAAGCGTAAAAATTGCATTATATACGACTTGTTTCAGCAAATTTGACACAGATAAGATTGATTTGATGCTATGCTAATTATATACTTTTGATTATAATATTTAATTATATTGTAATAATATGTTTTAATTTTTAAGTACGTTTATTTTTTTATGTGAGTTAAGTATTAGTTTTGATTCTGTATTTATATAATTATATATAAATAATATATAAATAATTTTTATTTTATTATTATTAAATGAATTTACTATTTTGAAAACTAAAAATTTTATAAATGTCAAATAATAAAACATATAAAATTAAAAAAAAAGTATAGATGATATATATATATAATAAAAGTAACTCAAATGATTATTTTATTGTTTTAATATTTTATTATTTTATTATTATATATTATTATTATATATATTTAATATTTTATTATTATATTAAATTTTGTAATCATATATTTAAAGTAACATTATTATGAAACAATATATGAGAGAAATGTCCAAAGTATTCAGAAAAAAATTAGACTTTTTTTTATATAGGTAGCATATATTAAGAAATATAAATCTTTTAATAGAACATAAATAATTTTAATAATATAAAATGAACAATGGATAACTAAAACAAAAATTATCAATTGATCAGAATATTATAATTACAGAGTTGAAAGATTTAAATAATTGAAATTATAAAAAATTAGTATATTATTTTATATATATTATACTTATAAATATAATGTTATAAAATATGCATTTTTAATAATGCAAAATAATAAATGGAATTGGATCAATCAAGAAAATATAATTGAAAATAATGATACTAAAAAACGTTGTTTAGTTAATAATTTAATCTGAAGTTTGCTGTGTTCCATGAAACTCGTGTGATTTAAAGAAGATAATTTAAAGAAAAACAAGAAAGATAATTGACTAAATAAAATAGAAATAAAAAAAATTTCATTTTTTATCTTAATTTTATAACATATTTTATTATATTTTATTACTCGTTGAGTGGATATACTTGAATTATATATATAATTTTAAAAATTAAATTCAATATTTTTAAATTTAAATATAAAATCATCATAATATATTTTGTATAATATTTTTAAGTAATATGTTAAAAATATATATTATTATAATTATATTACTAAAATATATTATTTTAATTAACGTATATGTAATAACTTATCTTTTCCTCTGCTATATTGAAAAAATTAAATCATATTTTTATGAAATTATATTATATAAATTTTATTTTTTTATATACATAATTATATGTTTATTTTTTGTTAATATTTCAAATATTCGATTTTTATTTAGGAAATTATATATATTTATTATTATTGTGTATAATATCATTTTATTAATTTCGGAAGAAATATTTTTTCTTTATTTAATATGAAGCATAATATTAATAGAATTTTTTCTTATAAGAGAAAATAAAAAAGATACAAAAAAATTTTTGTATTTTTTCCAACAGCATTCTAGAAGCAATATTTTTCTTTTAACAGTAAAAGACAACGAAGTCTAGCAACCTCTTTTAGCTGAACAATGTCGCAATCAGAAAATGCAATGATCGGAAAATTAGCCAACGTAATAAATGATGAGAATTATTATTATGTTGGTGTAAAAGCATCTCCATTTGCGAATGATTGTGTTGTCTTTGGTTTAAATTCGGATGAAATTTTGGCTCTTTCCAAGCGTTTTCCGAATTCTGGATCAGATGTGGTCAACGGTGTTATGATTAAAGGTTACCATTGCCTATTTTTTATATTCTTTGTAATTGTAATTTTTTTATATTTAATCAATCAATTTCTTGAAATATTGTTGTAATATAATTTTTTTTAATTTGTAAAAGCATTATAAAAAATGAAAGCTAAAAAATATCTCTAAAACAAATAGATGCAATTGCAGTCTTTAAATAATATATTTTATTTCAGAAAATTAATAAAAAAAAATAATAATAATATGTTAATAAAAATAGGTTTATGATTAAAGTTTTTTCTTGATAATATTTATTACATTTTTATCATTTAAAATTTTTAAATTTTTGACAATAAAATATTTAATTTATTATATATTAATAAATAAGAATATTATATATTAATAAATTCATAATAAAATAGCAATGATATCTTTTAAAATAAGATGTTATATTCAAATATTTTATCGAAGTTTAACATTAATATGTTTTATTAATATGATATTTCTTTTAATTTGAGCAATAAAATTTATTACAGGACCACCTTTTTCCATCATTAATGCCTTGGCAGAATTAGGATATCGAGTTATTTGTAGCACGGGGGAGGCCGAAATACTTTGGACATTGCAAAGGGAATTGTAAAGTCAACAATTTATATTCTCAGGATTATTTATAAGAAAAAAGTACACTTATATACAAGACATATGCAAGAATAAGCTTGCTAATATTCATGCAGATTGAAAAAAAAGTATTATATTATTATTTATATACGAAAAATTTGTACATGTAAAACACATAGAATTATGTGAAGTTCAATTTCATTATCGAATTTTTATCAATATTTTTTAACTTTCTGTCGAGATATATACTTTTTATGGGATATATTTGTATTAATAGTTTTTCATGAAAAATTTTGGCAATACTTTTCACATATTATATTCGTAAAATATATAATAGATTAGAACAGTCATACATCGAAATGTATATTAAATGCATTTAATTTTTGCAATTTTCAAGCGAATTTTAAATAAAAAGTCTTCAGTTCATTTTTATATGAATTATTAATAATAATAATAATAATAATAATAATAATAATAATAATAATAATAATAATTATGATATTAATAAGACTGTATAAGATATAGATTCCAATTTCTACATATTTTCGATTTCTTTTTGCAGTTAATTATTTTATTTATTAATATAAAAATGCATAGAAAACAATCATTAAGCAAGCATATAAAATTATATAATAGAATATAGAAATGATAAAAAAAATATGCTTAATTTTATTCATTTTTATTTTGTGCAGAACTAATCAATTAACAACCATTTGGATAATACATTAAAATTCAGAATTTTTCTTTTAATGAAGAAATTTGATACATTTGATATATCAAATTGTATGATATGCAATATGCATTTTAATTTAATTTAATAATATAAATCGTTATTTTTTGTCTACATTCGAAATATTATTTATAATATATAATGCACGGAATCAAAACTAAGGATTAATATTATGTAATGAGCGATAGAATTTATATCGTATTCAATATGTGTTAGCACAGCATCATGCTTCGAAATGAAAAGAAATTATATACCAATTAATCGATATATTCTATTTATTACAAAATAATTGAAACACGATATGTTATATAAAAGTCAATTTTATATACCGACCTTATTTTCATATATGAATTCGATATATTCACTTTATATATATAAATATATATATATAAAATTTATATATAATATATGTAAACAAAATAAATTTTTTTGCATATTGTAAATGAAGATTTGTTAAAAAATATATGATTAATATAATCTAAAAATGCTTTTTTATATATATATTTTCATTATTATTGATAATAATTTATCAGAAATTATTTTCCATCCATAATGATTTGATATTTAAACTTGTACAGTAAAAAGATTTTAAGTGCAATTTCTATTTATTTATTTTTTTTAATGGAACGACAGGTAAATCACTCAGGTACTAAGTCTGCATCTACATTAAACATGGAGCACAATCATAGTTATAATGATCATAATAAATGCTGCAGTATAAATACTAATGTTAGTGTTCGTCAATCTCTAATGGAAATGGAGTTTGAACGTGGTATATGGTATGCTGGTAAATAATTAAATTTATTTAGTTTTAAATACATTATTTTAAATAGTTAAGATTATTTTTTACTAATTTATATTTAACTAACTTTTAGCACAATATAATGATTTGGATCGTGTAAAGACATTATTGAAGAAAGGTGTTTCTCCTAATATAGAAGATTCAGCTGGATATACAGCATTACATTATGCAGCTAGAAACGGACACTATAAAATTTGTAATATATTATTAGAAAATGATGCAGCTGTGAATGCACAAACACGTTGTGGTCGTGCCACTGCTTTACATAGAGCAGCTATGCAAGGACACTGTAATATTGTCGAACTTTTGTTAAAATATGATGCAAATCCTAATTTAAAAGATGCTGATGATTATACCCCTTTACATAAAGCACTTACAGCACGCTCAACATCAGTTTGTAAATTATTGATACCATGCACTAATCTATCATTGTTGAATAACAACATGCAAAGTATAGAACAATTGGTAAATGAAAAGTTTCCTGACATTTTACCATTTTTATTGACATATATAAATAAAGAAAAAATAAATAAATGATAAACAAAAATAATTTGAAGTTTTCAATTTTTATATATTAAAAAATAATATAAATGTTATGATATGTGTATTCAGTAAAACAAATATGTAAGAAAAATGTAATATAATTATGAAATTATTTATTGTATTATTTATTGAATTATTTTAAGAATTTTGAATTATTTTATTTGTCAAAGTAAAATAATTTTTGATAAATAGATATAAAATGAAATCTTAATACTCGAATATTTTAATAAATCTATAAAAAAATATTGTGATTTTAAAAATTTAAATATTTTGAATATCGGAGATATATTTTTAATATTTAAAAATAAAAAAAAAATATTTTGTTAGTAGATTGTAAATTTTTGTTGAAATCATCTATCAATTATATTATTAATTATCAATTATCAATTAAACAAATTTAATAACAAAATTTGAATTATAATTAATATGTATTAATTAAAAATAAATACTTATTATCTATTTATAAAATCAAGAAAAAAATTATAATTTCAAATGATTTATATATTTAAAATTTTCAAGTTATTTGACATTATTTTCAAGTTAAATATAAAATTAATCTATCGATATTAAACGATATTGCCGGAATTAATATGATAGATTATTGATAGAATTTAAAAAAATGATTTATAATTTGCAAAAATAAAAAAAAATAAACTATTATATATATAATGTTATTATAATGTTTGATGGATATTAATTTTTTACAAATAATTTTATCGTATTGTAATATATTACGATGTATTGCTATTATAAATAAGAAAAAAATGAAAATCGTTATTGTTTGTTTTTTTTATTTATAATTAACAACAATTAAATTGATTCTTGTTAAAAATAAACAAGTTTCTTAGAATATTTTTTAGCAATAATGTACATATATATAAGCGCATATGTACATCATATGTATTTTATTATTAGTATTAAAGTATATTTCATGTATCATATAATACAAGATTTCTTTTTTTTTTTGCACGTTTAAAAATAAAAATTTCGAATGGTGAATTGCATCGGGAAATAAGAAATATAAACATTCTATGGAGCGATAAAGGAATAAGGGTACAAATAAAATTGATGGCACGCATCATCATTCGTATCATTCCATGTGCTCATCAGAACGGAGAGGGTCGTGCACTTGATATTGAATCATTCGTGCGTAATCGTAAGTATTCGGAATGGATCGGGAGTGATCGTTAGAATTCGACAGTACTCGATGAGTTGCGGTACACGGAGCGCAATACGGCCGCCGGAGCCCCCTTGCGATAAACAGTGGTGCCATCTAACGGAACACCTCCCGTCTTCTCTATGACTGCAATAGTTGCATGGAGTCAGTCGTTTCACGAATACCGCGGGTGGTTTGCGGGAAGGCTCGCTGCCGCCTTTAGCCGTTGCGCGACGGATCATCCGTCGTTTCGCGGTCCGAGGTTCGTCCGCGTGTCTTCGACCACTTTTCCCGCCTGGATTCTTGTGCAATTTTACTTGTCGATTTGAGTGACAATCGCGAGCGATGTAATCGTGCCCTGACGTCACGAGGCTAATCAAGTGCACACACGAACGCAAATACAGGCGCGCGCGCGCTTGCCATTCGTATTCGTATACACGGATAGTGTACGCGCTCGCTATACTACATACAACACGTATAGAGCTGTGCATACGGTTAAACTGATACAGAACGAAGGAAAAGGAAATAGCGAGATCGTGAAAGACAGAGGAGAAGAAACGGAAACAGAGAGATAAGAAAAAAAGAGATATATGTGCGTATACATATATATATGTATGTATATATGATATATATGTATATATATATATATATATATATATATGTTGCGTAGCAAGAGAACGGTAATAGAGAAAAAGGGGTGAGGCGAAAAACATACACGGAGGACAAATCATACTTGAATACTCTATGTAAGATCTACAAGTCTTACCTTTATAAAACATTATGCGCAAATATTGCGAAGAAAAATTTGAAATGGTAAAAGTATCGACATTTTTTCATTTGCAATGTTCGACCATCGATTTTTCTCGAACGATATGTTTTTGTATCTCGGTAAAGGATTTCACGTTTTCGACACGTGTGAGACAAGGCTATAAAATAGAATAAAGAAGAAAGAAGAAGAAAAAGAAAAAGAAGAAGTGAGAAAGAAGTATCTACATCTCGTGGCGCCCCGTTGTGTTTTTCTACGGAAAACTGCGCTCGCAACCAGCGTGAACTTTCAAAGTGGAAGAAAACGTTCGACAAACCTAAGAATGAAAATTTCTTCAAAAACGATAAATGGAAAACAAAAGAAAAAATTAATCTGTACGCGCTTCATCTTATCTGATCGATAAAATGAAATGAAATGAGTGAAGAAGCAAACGAAGAAATTTGAAGTAGAACGAACTTGGATGAACAAACAAGTTTTATTCCAGTCGAACCGGTCAGTGAGTGTAATATAATTTTTGTGCGTTATCATTGGGATATTTTTTTTTTTCTTTTTTCTTTTTTTTTTTCTTTTTTTTTTTTTTTTTTTCTTCTTATGTGAATTATTATCACATGTGAGTATAAAAGTGTATACATGATTGCGGGTGTTGTATCTTGTTGTGTGCGATAATAAGAAAGTGGGATCTCTACGTTCCGTTTTTATTAACTTGTCGGACGGTCCACTGCTTTGAGAGTCAAGTTCGTCGCGCTTCGCTGTACGCGCCGTGCCTGGCGCGCATATAGGTATTTACTTATTTCCTCGCGCTTTGGGTTGTATTCCGCGAAAAACTTTTTATTCGAAGCGAGATGAAACAATATCTCTTCGTGATAGAGATTGAGAACTAATATCGATAAGTGTAATTGTAAATTACGACAGGTATTTACTTTTCCAATTCTTAAATTTTCAAATTTATCTTCCATTTTACACTTTTTATCATTATCTAATTTCTTTTTATAAATTTTATTTTCAAAATATTATTAGCAGTAATTAATCTTTATTAAAGAGCCAATATAATAAATTTGATGTGATTACGAACGTTATTATAAATTTTAAATAGTAAACTTCTTTAATTTGCGTTTAATATAACTTATATAAAATTTTTATATATCATTAATATTAAATTGATAAACAAAATGTTGAAAAAATTACGATTCTAAAAGATATTAATTTATGGTCAAAAAGATTTGATCTCAGTCTATATCTATTGGCATTTTTTTCTATTTGAACAACAAGGAAATATTTAAATTGATTAGATTGGATAATTTTTTTAGCTTAGCAAAAAAATTTTCTCGCATTTATCATTGATATCAAAGAATTGGCTAATGAATTTTGAAATTTGGGAAAGTAGTGTCCGTGGAACATGAAATAGAGAACGTAAGCGTCGACGATAATATCGATCAACTTTTCCTAAACGTGCCTCGGTCTACATATGTTCGGAAGCAGAATGGGGTGTGGACATGCGCATATGCAGACCATTGTATTAGTAGTGCGTCGTCAAGTACGACGCCATGTGATGCGTGAGAGTATGATACAGTAATAAACATTCTTCGTCTCAAAAAAATAATTTAATTAAAATTTATATAAATTAAATGTGTTTATTATTTGATTTATTAATTGATATAATAATAAAAAATTGATAATAAGAATAATTGTAGATGTAAAAAAAAATTAATATTAGAATTTTATAATTAATTTATTCACATATATAATTAAATGATAATTGAAAAATTTTTTATTATTTTTTTTATATAATTATAATATTTTGAGAATCTATAACTAAAAAAAAAGAAATTATTGTATAATAATGACGAATAAGTAGTTTATTAAAGTGTTACAGCGTTAAAGTTTCACAAGTATTATATTTATGTTTTATTGCATCAGTTTCACTTTCCGCTTTGCTTGTACTACTTGTACTCGATGCAAAGAATCTTGGGTAAAATATCGCATCAAAAGTCTCGTCATTTTCTTTTCCTATATTTCAATAACAATTTTCATTTATTCTTATGTTTATCATTTCTAACAAATTGGTCGTCCATTCGATCTTTTGTTTAACGATTATTTTTCTTCTTTAACAGGATCGGCAAGATTACGAAGAACCGTAACAAATTTCGAAAAGGATGAAAAAAATTGTGGAAAGCTCAAAATTCCGGCAAGACGATTCCCAAAAGATATAATAATCGTCAGATAATTGGCAATTGAGATGTCTTCTGCTTAGTATCTTGGTGAGAATTGCCTGTCATTGAATATTTATAAGCGATTCCAGATTTGGAGGGATAAACAGAAAACCGATCGTTCCTGAATGGTAGCAACGACAAGTTAAAAAAATAAAATGTCTAAGGTATTCTATTTTTCGCCAGTAGAATACGGTTAACGAATCTGTCTACATGTACGTGAATAAGTGAGAAAGTTGGCGTGTCGAAAAGTGAATCTGATGTTCGAGGGCGAAAAGGAAACGACGACAGTGATGGTGCTCGGTCGATAAAGAGAGTTATATAAAGTGTAGAAAGAAGATCAAAAAAGAAAAATGTGTACTTAATCTTGTTTTTTTTCGCGAGTGATTTTTACGTTGGTGATGTGAACAGTGTCTATTGTAAAGAACATCCCGAATGTCGGTAAATGAAGAAGAAGTATATGATTGAACGATGCAATTAAGAACGCGTGTTCGATCAGTGAGTGTCGGCCGAGAAAAAAGAACTATTCGTTTTGATTGATTTTTTCTTATTTCACGTCGATACAAACGGGTGATAAAACGAGAAATAATTGAGAGTGAAATGAATTATTTATTTTTTCATTTGTTATTTTGCAAATTCCCGTTATGTACTTGATTTTCTCGTGGTTTGAAATTTGAGTAAAAAGAAAAGAAAAGAAAAGAAAAGAAAAAAAAAGGAAAGATTCAAAAATTTGTCATATTGGAAAAGTGTTGGTGATAATAGTGAGCGACGTTCATTGATTCGCAGTGGTGATATTCTTATTATTTGATATCCATATTATTGGTTGTGAAGATATAGTGAAAACAGGTTAGTGGTGATAGTGGCATATCGCGTAGAAAGAGAACACTCGACTGTGACTCTTAACTTATTACCACGGATTTCTCCCGGCAGTTTGACACAACAGCCATCCTCGATGAGAGGAGGCACATGTCCATTGCTGCCGCTGAAAATGCAGGGTAAGGTTTTTTTCCCTTTCAATTTATTTTCTTCTTTTTTTATTTTATTTTTATTTTAATCTTAGGTCGTTTATAACAAACGGGAAACTTGTTCCCGTTCAACGTCCAATTTGTACATACATCGTTTATTTACTTAAGCATTTCAGAGATCACCGATTTCGTTACTTCGATACCGCGATGTGTTTCGCGCATGTACAAGAAAATTCGCACATGTTGCGCGTATTGGTCGGAGTTAAGATGTAAAACAAATGAATCTGTTACTAGTTTTTTAGCACAATTAACCTCTTAAGTGAGAAATTATATGGACGAAAGTTTTATATACATTTCCTCCGGTCTCCTTATTACCATTTTTCATTTAACTTAAAACTAATTGTTGAAAATAATAGTTTCGCGTGTATTTTTTAATTTTATTATTTTTCCATGCAAAAGTATTATTGTATTCTATAAATAATTAAAAATAAGTGAATCGATATATATTACATTAAAAGATTAACTGTTACATATATTCATTTATTTATTCAATCTTCGTAATGCATTAAAATACTAAACATTTTGCTATGATTTTATATATATTTTTTTCTCATATATTATTTGAATTCTATATTAGGCAGCGTATAGTAATCGATGTTAACTAATGTGAATCATTTATCAAGAAGTATGGAAGTATATTTACAATTTTGTGTATTTGTATTGTATATATATATATACACATATATACATATGATGATATATTAGTCAGGATTTGATTGTAAAAAAAAAAAAAAAAAAAAAAAAAAAATAGCGTTCCTGAAATTATAAGAAATCACATATAATACATAAAAATGAAATAAAAATATTTTATGCGTTTTTTAAATGCGTATCATTTTAAATTAACGAACGATATAAAAAAGATAGAGCATCCCGAGCATTGGAGTTGAGCATTTATATATTGAGCAACAATTTAAAGTACTATTTTAATAAAGTACTATTATATTTATGTCATATTTAACATCTTATCATATAAAACAGCATAATTGGAGATAATATTGAAGGATGATATGATACGATAGATTTCAGATATTAGAAATTAATGAATTAGAATTAACGAATATATATATATATATACATTTTAATGAATTAATTAATTAATATAATATTTATAATGGAAGTTTATGAAATATCTCCACTTCTCTATTCGAAAACATCGATACTCGATATTCAATTTTCATGTTATTTTGTATAACGAAATAACTTAAAAATAAAAAAGATGCGAATTTTTTCTTATGAACAAATAGAAAATTAAATAAATTTACGATAATTTACGATAAAATCGAATATTTACTCTTAACGACAAAGAAATAAAATCCTAAATTATCGAGAAATACCATACAATATCATACAATATAAAACCTACTGTTATAGAAACGACTAGCCAGACAAGCCTCTAGCGAAAGTGTTAATGTTGATAGAGCGACGAGAAACAACAGACAAGCAGCGAGATAGTTTTAGGTAACGTGTATAACGGGAGGGGCCTTTCAGAATACGAAAAAGAAGAACAAGAACAAGAAATAGGTATCTCAGGTAGACGGGCCTCGAGATAGGCTCAGTAGAAACTGGAAGAAGTTAAATGCAAAAGGTTTCCTTCTAAAGTAGAGAGAAGGAGATGAGCACAAGGAAAAAAAAGAAAAAGAGATGAAAAAAAGAGCAGCAGGTGTCGGCACAATTCAAGCCTTCAAAGGGAAGAACTCTTAAATTTTTTAACTCTTAAACCTAACAACGAATGATACACACGTTTCTTCTTTTTTGCTCATTTTTCATGAGAAGATTTTCTGTACAATTTCCGTGCACACGAACGAAAGATATAAATATTTAATCATTAACGATTTTATATGTATATATATATGTCAAAATTATTTTTAGTAAGTATACTTGACAAATGTATAATGTCAAATCGCGTCGATATATTCATACGATTGCTAACATGATTTTAATGACACGAGAAACGATTTTCCCGTTGCTTAGAGATAGGGGAAATAAATTATAAGTGGCAAGTAATCGCTAAAATCGATGGTCTCGTCAACGAGTATACATATACAAGTAGAGGAAAAGGATATTGCTATTACATGGCGTGAAAACGATAGTAACATTTTTAAACACTATTAGACAACTTATTCGATAAGAAGTTGCGTAATGATACATATTCCCTTGCTTTGTATTGGCAATACATAGTACCGCGTACTTGCATAACGATGGATTTAATTCAAAACAGATGAAACGAAACTTGAATGTGTTCTCACGTAACACTGAACGCGTCGAGGCTATTTCGTTCTGTCCGGAGAAAAAGATTTGTAATCTTGGTTTTAAACTCAGATAGCATCGATGAATACAACTTTTCCTTCTTTTCCTTCATAAAATTGCGATAACTTTTTATATCTCGCTAACTCGTATGCTAGCTCTCGACAATATGTTTTATTAGCTCGTAAATAAGATTTTAGAAACTCTTCTCTATGCTACGTCAAGGCACATTCGAAAATAACAGCCTCCAGAACGAATTCCTTGACTCGTTTTCAAGCTTGCCGAATAGAGGATAAACGATATGGCAGATAATCTCATTTGCGCGTCTTCTATATATCAATTCTCTTGTATTAAATAAGATGCAATAGTGTATCGAAAAGCAAGACATCCACCAATCGTTGTCGAAGAAATTGTAGAGGCATGCGAAATATAAGATAAAGCGCGGCAAGACAGGGTTCGATCGTGGAAAATAGAGAAAAAGTCGCGTGCGAGACACATGTAGCGAAATAGAAACTTGGCTTGCTTTGACGTGGGCGTTGCAAGTCTCATCGAAACTATATAACTGATTCATCATCGACGACAGCGAATCGATCGCAAGGCATTACACTCTACGTGAAACAGTAGTTCGAGCAATTAAATCCACGTTGTTCATCGGCAAAACAATTGAGTCCGTTAGGAATAAAAGCGTGCAAGTTAATAAGAGAGCTAAACTAAAATCGCGAAGTTAGAATAAAATGAAAGTTTCGTCAATCTTCATGACCTGTTTTCTGGTTGTTGTTTTATTCGACGACATCTCTCTTCTCGATGAACGCCGAAGTAGAGAATTTTTCTCGCTAAATACATCCGAAACAATCAAAATAACGATCGATAACATTAGATTTCTAAATATAAAATGATGATAGTATAGAATTAAAAAGTTCTAAAGAAAGTGTAAAAATGATATGTCTGAAGAGAAAGAAAGAGAAAGAGAAAGAGTGATTGGGGAGGGGGGGGGGGGAGAATAGCAGGCAAAATCGGCCCGCGCGATGTCCATCGAACAGCAAGTTAGCGTATAGTAAAGTCACGTGGTTGGTGCCGAGTACAGCCGAGAGCCGAGTCGAATCGAACCGAATCGCCCCGAACCGTGCCATGCCATGCCGCACCGCACCGCGCCAGCCTGGGATATAGATCCTCCTGTGTACGACGCAACGTTGCCAACTCATTGCTACGAAGCCGGCCGGCTGCTGCCTCGATCGGTCGACTCTGTTCGTCCGCTTGCTCGCCTGTATGCTTACTTGCTTGTCTGTCTGTCTGTCCCTCCGCTACTTCGTTCATTCGTACGTCGTCCGATCATCCATCCGTCCGTCTCTACGGGAAAAATAGCGTTGCCTTGGCTTTCTTTCCTTGCCTTGCTTGACTCACGCCCTGACCGCATTTCCTTTCGCGAAAACACCTTTAATTTTCGATCACTATCCAATATTCTTTTTCTTCTCTTCTCGCAAAACGAAGCACGTTGTCGTCCCATGCATACATCGATGATGTAATTTCTTTGTTTCAACTTGGTTAATTGTGCTTTGTATAGTATCATATTTTGAAGACGGAAGATAATCGAAATTATCATTGCATGGGTAATATTTTTTTCCGTTTATTTTTCATTTAATTCGATCAGTTTTAAAGAATAACGTCGAATAAGTTATAAGCGGAAAACAGAGATCTGGCAACATATATGTTTCTAAGCACAAGGTAAAAATAACATGGCGTAAAATGCACCGTTATGTATCCTGTGTATATATTTATTATGCGTAAACTTACACAACGCATCATTAGTACACGCAATCATTTGTTGCATAACGCATAATGAATTAGTAATCATTCCCAGAGGAAAGACATTTTACGTTACGTATAATCTGTATAAATGGCAAGTACCGTTTTCTCGAATAATATGATACCAATTAATTTAGACCTATAAGGGCATCGCCGACCTCGGTTTCGATACTTGGAATATAATTTTACGTAATTTCGTCTTCATGGTTAGTATTTAGAAACCGTACCGTTATCACGAACAGTGACTGTTTGTTTCTTCGAGTCCGGTCTCCTGGATTCGAATTTACACTGCGTTTTGCTTCGTACAAATGACGCACAAATCGAAGAAGGTTAAGTTAAGTTCTAGGAAGTAAATTTGTTTGGATTAATTTCAAATTTTTTCAAATTCTATATATTTTGAAAAAATATATTCGCCAAATTTTTGTCATAATTAAGTATTAAAATAATTAAATTAAAATATTCAAATTTAATATAATTATATATGATATAAAATTAAATAATAATCAATTATATTTCGAAAAATATTTTTTGAACTACGATAGTTTTTTTTTTTTGTTTAAAATATATATATTTTTAAAAATATAATTTGATTTCGTAAAAAATTTTTTTTATTGTGCAAACTTTTTGAACAAAAGATCGAACGATATTAAAATGATTCAATATTTGAAAGATAATCGGTGAAAGTATAAAAAGATTAATCGGTGTTTTATATTTTGAATAATATTCAAACATACAAGGATGGTCGTTTAAAGGCTAGTCGTAATATTATTTCTACAATAATATAATTTCTATTATGTAGTTTTACCCATATTTTTTTAAAGTTTCGATAATATGTGTGAAACTTCATCCTATTTCATTATTCCATCTTTAAATTTATGATCAGTTTAATAAGAAAACAATTCGAATACACAATTAGTAGAAAA